AGATAAATTATATATATACATAGGGCTGGAAGGTCAAATTTATTAGACATATGGAAGAAGGGAATTCTTCTTCTTGAGCTGCCAAAATCAACCATACAACTAAACTTTTTGTTATATCTACCTCCTAGTGGTTTTGGACGAGGAGCCAGTGGTGAAGTTGGTGGTGATAGTAAGTTGATTATTGTTCTCCGTAATCCGATTCAATGTTATATTGAGTGACAAAAAATGATTGCAATTTAAGCAAGATCCTGATTTCTGCTCAGACCACTATTTTTTCGAGGACAAAAACTTGAAGGGGCACTTGCCCTTAATAAGATTCTCCCCTGCTATCATTCATTTGATATTGTTGTACGTCTCTAAAGAGAGACCTGTCCATCTGATACTCCACCCTTGTGTAACCATTGGCCATGCCCAGTGAAAATTGAAACACATGGCATCTTGTGGTCCGTTCGAAATACCACAGTGTCCTATACAGGTAAATCAGGTAAATCAGTCTTATTCCTCAGAGCATTTTAGTGATGATAAGTTTAAATTCTAAAATGTCTCGTAAAAAATTAAATCACAGTCACCCAATGACAATTAACACAATGGTCTTCAACAGAAGAAATTTTTAATTACAACAGGAACACAAATAGTATATCACGTGTTTTAATAAAAATGGTAGAAAATTTTATTTTTTAAGTTATTAACTTTTAGCACACATATCTTACTGTTTGTATAATAATACGTGATGTACTATCTCATATACCGGTTATTAAGGGTAAAAATGTAATATAGTTAGTAATATAGTTAGGTAGTTAGTATTTGGTTAAAGTAGTTAGGATTTCTATATAAACAGTATGTGTAATCTTCATTTGCTCAGTTAATACAAATCCTATTTCTCTCTCTAAACTCTCTCACTCTAGAATCTCTCTTGGTTCTCTCTATCTTCTTCCTCTTCCTCTGTATCAATCCTTCATCTTTTACAATGTAGTTAACATGGTATCAGAGCCACCAGGCTCACGCCATGGATTCTGGTGGTTCTACTTCTCATTATTTTACATATGTTTCCCGCTTAGTTTCTTTTCCAAATTTTCATTAGGTGTTAGGATAAGCGTCTGGGTGCTTCCGTGATCATTCTTTTAGGTTGATTTGTTTTTGGGTTGATTTCTTTCCGATCAAATTCATGAGTCTCCTTGTGCCTGATTGAAAGCGAGAGATCGAAAGTTGGAGAACCGAGGCAAAGTTCTCGGCTTGTTCGACTTCGGAGCTAACACACTTGAAGAAAATTAAGGGTTTAAGAACACGGACTTTAGAGAGAAAGAAAGAGAGAGCAGAAGTTCTCGGCTTGTTCGACTTCGGAGAAATGGCGGCTTCACCGATTCCAATCCCATATGGGCTGATGTTTCTGCCATGAGGACCGTCGCGCCTTAACCCTAAGCGCGCCTTCGATTTTGCCTACACACTGGAACAGCTGATTTGAAAGCTCTGCTTCCCAGATCTAGACTTCTTCAGAATACGAAGTCGATTCGATCTTTTACGTGCCATTTTCTGAGTCGTTTGAAGGCCGATGGATTGTTTCTTCGAAAGATGAGTACCAAGGGGTATGGAAACTGTCCAAGAGTGAGGGACATGATGATTACGGGCTTCTGGTAAGTGAGAAGGCGAGGAAGTATGCAGTGGTGAAAGAGATGGACAAGGCTGTGAGCCTTGCTGATGGAACTGTTGTCCTACAGTCTGGGTCGGGATATTTGAAGAACAATGTACCAGTCAAGTGGGTTTTGCTCCTGGTCCTCCGTACACGCCTTCTTCTCCTTCGACGATACGGACAGCATGCTCCGCCGGAGCTCCTCCGGAATCTCGCTCTGGTTTCGGTTCTCTCTCAGCATTCTTGGGTCAAGATTGAAGTTCTTATCAGGTTCTTGATTTCTGGGTTTTCACAGTGCACATAATCTGTATGATTAAATGTTTCAGTAAGAAAATGTTCACTATTTTGTTCATCTTTGAATCTCTTCTGGGATATTAGTGTAATATTTGGGATATTTGGATTCAAGACTATTGATTGTCGTGGTCAGTTTGAGTCTTCTTTGGGTATTCAATAAGGTGAATTGTAGTGATTTGTGGCTTGGTGCGATGGGTTTTGAAGATGGGTTCTGTTTTAAGTTTATTTTATGTATCAAGTATCTTGGGTCTTGAAGATGAGTTTGTTAGCATTGTTTCTGGTTTTTGTGAGTGGAGGATGTTGTTGCCCGTGTAGAGGATGAAAGTACTGGCTATATATTACCAAACAAATGGTTCTGAACCCCTGTTACTTGGTCAGTCTGTCAGCAATTCGACTAATGGTGATGTATCTATCGTTTCACCCAATCTTAGCAGTATAAAATGGAGAATAAGGGGAACTGGCAGTCCCATTTCAATGAATCTTGGCAGATCAGTGTGCCAGGGCAAAGCAACGAAGCAAGCAGCAATGCCTGTTTATTAGATTCAGCAAAGGTTACTGGAGTGAGTGTTCAGGTGCTAACTGAGGAGTTGTGCAGTATATTTCTAATCACAGCCTGTCATTTCAGAGTCTAACCAACTCAGTTGTTAGCATGAATCTACAGTAAGTCCGGTTATACGTTAAAGTTTGAAGAAGTTGTTAACGGTAAATCCCACGAAGGGTAATCCCGTGGTTTGAGTAGGTAAATCCCACGAAGGGTAATACTACATAGATGTTGATTTCAATTGTTGAAATTGTGAAGGCCGATGCCATTGTTCAAAGAAGTTGTTTTTTTTTTTTGGTAAAATCCACAAAGGGCGATCCCGTGGTGCTATAGTTAAGGCCGATGCCACACTATATAGTTTGTTAATTTTCTGTTTTTGTAAATATTAAAGGCCGAAGCCAAGTTGAATGAGATTGTTGACGGTGAATCCCACGAAGGGTAATCCCGTAAGAAGTGTTATACCGGCATGAGGGTGTGCTACAACTACTTTATAGAAGGTTGTTCTTGTGTACAACTCCTGATAGAGGCAGCGGCATACAGATGTCTTTATTTGTAAGGCAGTGGAAGAAATTTGGACAGACAGACAGAGGTTTTTAGTCAACAGCTTCAAAGAGGTCATGGGGTACACTTGTTTGATTCAGTGATCTGGGAAAGCTATAAGCTTTGGTGATATGGTTTGAGTATACGCGCTTACTCTCTGTCGTATGGTCGTACATCTACTTCAAGTTGTATGGTTTGATTCAGTGTCATGTTTTCTACATGACTTGCTGTTGAAGTGGTTTTGAAGGTAGTATTCACTGTGATGATGTTTGAATAGTTGCCTTGTCAGATGGTGATGTTGATCAATGGCAGAAAGATCGTTATTTCAAAAACCTGTGTGCGCGCAGGCTAATCCAAAGTGTTGACTCTAGTCAAAGTGCTACATGTGGACAGATGTTTGGGTATCAATCCAATGGTGGTTTTCCTAAATCTACAGTTTCAGTGCTACCATGTCTCAATTCTTCCAATCTCAAACTGAGTTTCCCCAGTTGAGATTGAGGGGGAGTATTAAGGGTAAAAATGTAATATAGTTAGTAATATAGTTAGGTAGTTAGTATTTGGTTAAAGTAGTTAGGAAGGATTTCTATATAAACAGTATGTGTAATCTTCATTTGCTCAGTTAATACAAATCCTATTTCTCTCTCTAAACTCTCTCACTCTAGAATCTCTCTTGGTTCTCTCTATCTTCTTCCTCTTCCTCTGTATCAATCCTTCATCTTTTACAATGTAGTTAACACCGGTTATACTGAAAAATTTCTCCTCCATCAGGTATGCCTGCATTTGCAGCAATAACATTTTCTTCCAATATTTCATTCATATGAATTTCTTAGTGTTTTTATTTTATTTTTAAATAAAGCAAATAAAGAGATGTTGTAGCTGCAACAGGCAGGCTTTAACCTGCCAACTGCCAAGCGCAATGGTGATAATAAATCATAAAGCAAATTACCAAAAAAATAAATAAATAAATCGTAAAGCAATTCGGAAATCTGAGTCTCAAATGATTCATTAAAAGCATTTGCAGTCAACCACCACATGCAACAAGTCCCATCTATATGACTCTTGTTCATCAACTTTTCTGCACATTTAGCTAAACCTTCCTCTATGCATGCATTGCATCTAGCTTTCAATTCATGTACTGTCTTTTTCTTATGTTAAGGAGATTAAATTTATAGATTAAATTTTGTAAGCTAAATAAAAATTGATAAGTGAATTATTACTTAAACATTGATAAACGTATTTATTTTTTATTGATGACACATTATTTAATTTATAAATTTAATTTCCCTCGCATTACTTTTTTGCTTTTCCTCTTTTCCTTAAAGACCTTGAATTAACTACAAACCATCATTTTGACATAATTTTCACACGACTGGTGTTATATGGAGAACATTTATTGATCACATTACTAATCATCTATTTAGTATGAGTTCGTATGAATGAATCGAACTAAGCTTTGTTTATTAAATCGGTCTTCAATGACGTGGTCAGTAAATACGTATGATATAAATAACTGATCAAATACCGATCATTTGTCTAGTACAAGTCCAGCGTAAATGAATCAAACTCACTTCTGTTTATTAAATCTGTCTAAACAGCGTGTTTAGTAATTATGGTATAGATAATTGATCACATTGACCACATAACCAGTCCGAGTCCTGCATACTTGTACACACGAGTTGAATATATCATCTTTGTTATTTAGGTCTGTCTTCAACATGTTAGTAAATCTGGTAACGAATCACATACGTCAGTCTTTCTAAGGCAAGTCCTACGTACAATTCAAACACTTTTGTGTTTATTAGATTTGTTTTTGACAACGTGCCTAGTAAATATGGTATAAATAACATTAATTTTGGATTATTAAATGAGAGCAAACGATAAAGGCATAAAATACCAAAAAGAAAAGCACAAAACATTTAACTCAATAACTCTAGATGATTTTAAGTTCAAACACAACCACCTAAATAACTCATGGAATTGAACAAAAAGCTATATATGTTTACGACCCAAATATTATCCTTTTATTCACAACATAATATATATCTTTGTTCAATGACAAACAAAGATCATACATACCTGAACCACCAAGTACAATTAACCAATTTAGTACATAATTATAAACACTGAAAATTAAGGGGACACTTTGAGATCCATATGGTAATCTCCCTTTGGTATACATAAGCAAATATATGATTAATTTGCATGCTTGTAGGGATATGCATGCCTTAAAAGTCTCTTAATTAGGAGAGCCATATGATCCGGGCAGATCAGGCAACAGGTTTGGGTTCAGAGAAGTGCTGCCGCCACTGCTGCTGGTGGTGGTGATGGGGTTGTTGCCCATGGCCCACAAAGCGCTGTCAGAGGCTGCTACTGCAGAAGAAGAAGCATTCAAAGATGGTCTGTTGACGAAGCTTTGGGGGGGCCACTGATCATTCTCAGATGGGTATGGACCAGCTTGATCCACCAGATTGTTGCTCCTACCGCCGCCCATCTGATAAAACTGCTGACGCTGCTGTGGCTGCGTCGCCACCAAAGGAGCTGAGAGATTGAACCCCTGCAGCAGGCTCACGTTCGAGGCAGGATCATGACCACCCCCAACATTGAACGGCTGAGATTGATTCAGAGATTGAAGCCCTGCAAGAGATGACAAGTACCCATGAGAAGCACCAGGGTAGTACTGATGGTGAATAGCCAAACCACCGCTCGGGTTTTCCGTGGACATCCCAACGGAGCCGCCGCCAATTCCCAGAGTGTTCTGCATGTCCTGCTCTTTCTGTGGTGGCTGCGGCTGCTGAGGCTGCACGGTCCTAGCTGCAGACGCCGAGGAGGAACCCGCCTTGCCGCGCTTCCCCTTTCGGCAGCCGCCTCCGACGGGGACATTGCGGAGGGTCCCACCCTGAGTCCAGTACCTCCTACAAGCCTTGCAAAAGTACCGCGGCTGAGAGAGGCTGTAGTTGTTGTAGTAGCAGAACTTGGTGTTCATGGAGTGGCACCGCGGGCACCTGTGTGGCTGCTGGTTCTCCTGCTCCGCCGCCGCCTTCAACCGCTGATCCTGGTTCTGCTGCTCGTTTTGCTCACCCCCCTCCTGCTGCTGTTGCTGCATGTTGCTTTCTCTCTTATGATGATCTGAAATCGTTTGATGGGTTGATGTGAGTCTTCAAGCGACATGCAGAGGTTTATAAAGAGGAGGAAGAAATTGGATTGTTGTGAGGGTGTGCTCAACGTGTCCGACGCTAATCCTTCAGAATCTCTCGACACTCAAAACTGCCAAAACTAACGGCGATCGTTATCGTTATCGTTATCTTGCTCTCTCGCTGCATGCCGTGTGTGCCTTCCTCTTGTTTCCACCCACCCACCCTGGTTACAACCAAAACCATCGGCCATTCATTTCATCATTCACATTGAATTAATGAAAATTAAAGCCCAAGTGATATTTGAAATTTATGGAAAATATGGTCTTGAAATCGAGCGATATCCGCGAGGATTTATTTTTCTCCTTCTAAAAATGGTGTCAGAGAGTTTGAGACGATGCGGTTTGACTTGCTTCTTTTTTCTAGAATTTTGGACGAGTGGCGGATATGCAGAAAACCAGAAACAGGAGAGAGAGAGAGAGAGAGAGAGAGAGAGAGAGAGAGAGAGAGAGAGAGAGAGAGAGAGAGAGAGAGAGAGAGAGAGAGGTTTTAGCAATCTATGGGAGCTGGAGATAATACCAGAAACGATTTTCGGTCACATAACAGCATCTATCTCATCAAAATACAGGAAACCCAATACAGAAAGATTCAACCTTCACCGGAAAACGGTCCAAAGACTCGGCCTTTCCGTGCCGATCTGCAAAAATTTTCAACCCGTTGAACAATATCACCATAACAAACCCAGAAAATTATGAGAAGAAAAAATGAGAGTTCAACTGTACTGGGTTTTTAGATATATGGAGGTGTAGGGTAGGAGATGGACCACAGTAACAGGAGAATAAGATAGACCAGAGTCTGCAGAGGCTGCTGGTCTGGGAAGAACAGGGTGGCTGCTGGCTAGTGGCGGCCGTCGATAGGTTTTCGTCTGCTGTGTCAGACACTCAAACTTCAGCAACTACTATTTCTTCTCTCTCTCTCTCCTCTGCCTATCTACTACAATCATACATACCCTCGAGTCTTCTATTCACAATTTTTCTTCTTATTTTAATTTTGTGTGTTTTTGTTGGGCGGATTTCTTCTCTTGTCTCTGACATCTCACCAAGCTAATTGGATGCCAATTCTACTCAGAAAGACAATCATGTCCCCGTCACATTGAAAAAAATTTCGTTGATCAGAACATTTCCATGGTGACTTTTTCTTTCTCTCTCTTCTATTTTCTTGTAAACTACTCAAGTACTGGATTAGTTAAAGTCCATTGTCATTCTTCAACAAACTACTTTTGTCCAGTCGGTGTCAAACTTATGTTGACATTCCAAGAGGAAAATATATTTACTACTTGTGCATATTATCAAGCTATAGAATTATGAACTAGTTTAGCTAAGGGGAAAGTCATGGTCAAGTTATCATTTGTTGACATAGTTATGATACCAAATTGTTGTAGGTTTATGGTGATATGATCAGAATAATTTCATAAAATTTGGCTTAATTGGTATTATTGAATTATATAACCTATGTTTTTAATAAGCAATAGTCTAGACTAAATTCATCTAAAATACGAGCATAAGAATTCGAATTTGAGTATAAAAGAAGGAGCACACTGTTTTGCTCTAGTGCCAACTTGAATAAATTGAAGCTAAAAAATCTATTTCCCATTTAAGAATATAATTGTATGTGAATGGCAAAAAAATAAACAGTTTCCATATAAAACCTTCACATTTAAATCTTTCCAAAAAAAAAAAAGTCGGCACACGTCCAAGTATGTTCGAATCTCTCTTATCTCGTTTACCTAAAACCGTCACCGTTAAAAATGTTAACGTCAACGTACATTCGAATTTGTCATCTAGTTGATCAAAAAGTGTGTCAAAAAACCGAATCTCTCTTTTTATCGTTGATAAAAAAAATTGTGCAGAAAAATATAATACCACGTGGTGATTCGAAACCAGAGTAGATTTGACGCCACACGCGTTATTAAATAGGATGAAAAATTAATTATGTGTCAATGTGTAAGAGATTATACTAATAATGATTATTAATTTAGCACAACAAAAGTAAGATTTTATTGGGTTTTATATGTTAGGCCATCTCCTACACACCAAACAATTTGGACTCAAATATTATATGTGAGTTTAAATATAACATTTTCCTATCCAATGCATTCAGAAAGTTATAACATCTTATATAATTTTTTAGTTAACTTGAAGCTTACATTTTGGTTTCAATCTATGTTTACAAAATTTTAGTCTAAGGTGCAGCCCACGTTTACAAGGAAAGTTATTATTTCAAATGTGACAGTCCGTCTCTAATTTTACGATTATATAGATTTTAAAAGTGTGATTTTACGAAAATACCCTAGAGGTGAAGTTTTTTTTGGCTTTCGTTGATCAACGTATAGTGAGACGTACGAAATTCTTTTAGCGTATTCATGAAGTACTCGACGATATAGGCGCATAAGCGCAAGCAACAGTGAATTTGAAGTTACGGTTAAAGTTCTACGGAATCTACAAATCCGAAAAGTCTGTGGGTAAGGACACTATTTATTATTTTATATTTTATACATTTCTCATAATTATATTGTTTCTATTTTAATATTGTTGATAGAAAATTTGGAGGGATGAGGGAATCATGGAAGAGGAAAAACGGAGAAGATAGAGAGAGAGAGCCCCATGGATTGGGGGAAACAGAACGAATCAAGAAGGAGAGAAGAGTGGAGGGCCAATCTGAGAGGAGGAAAATGAGGGAAATGAGAGGAGAAGAGAGGCAGCAAATTGGGTCCTGGACGACCCATCTCGTCGACCCTATTGCAGACCCGGTTTTGGGTAGCTAAATCCGGCGTTCCTCATCAATTTTTTCGACGAATTCTACCTAACCCTTAACTGCATATGAAACCCTAACCTCCATTCTCTCATTTCTACTTAAAAATCTGAGGGTTTTGGCCTCTATTTCGTGAGGAACAAAGCTGACGGCTTTAAAGACACTCGGCGGTAATTCGCCGTATTCTGCAACCCTTCCCGTTGATCTCCACCATCAAACAGCTTCTCTGAAGTTCAGGAACATAACCCAGGCAATGATGGAGGCGTTGGAGCACGTACGGACGTCGAATCGAAGCACACCATTTATAGGGTTTTTGGCGGGTTTGAGTGAAATTGGAACATTTCCCGGCCAAATTGGACTTGGTCACGGTATAAAACTTGCTATACTCTTGGAGATCTTCATTTCTGTAAAATTTGGGAATTTTTTTAAATAGTTGGATTTTCCGGCTAGTCGGAGCGACCGACCACCACACACGGCGGCGCATGGCCATGGGGTCATCAATGTTATTCTTAGGCTAAATTAGATACCTTGAATTCAGTTCTGACAATAGTATGACGCAGGTTGATCGTTAGAACTTAAATTCTCTACAATACGTGATTAAGTCATTATATGAATCGATAATCTAACCGTTGGATCGTCATCAAACTTTAATAAGTTATTTTTCGTAATATTTGAGTATTTACGGATCAGGAATCCGTCGCACGGATCTTTCCAAATTGGATTTGTAAGTTCGTAGAATAAAACGTTAACAGCCACTTGGTTTTGGCAATTGGCAAAGATCCAACCATTGGATCGTTCCGAAATTTTAAGATATTGTTCTAAAAGTATAATGTGGATCTTTGGAAATTATGGATTTGAAATATGTGATGTGGATCTTCCGGATCGAGTTATGTAGGGTTGTGGACCCTACCGTCGATATTTGACCGACGGTTGACTTTTGGTCAATTGGTCTTAAATCATTCTAGAACGTCCTTAAGGATGTGTTTTAGGTAAGTTACGTGTTATATCGATAAGAATTCTAAGACATTAATTGATAATTATTCCAGGCGACGATGGTTCGTGACGCCTTGATATTAGGTTAAAGAATTGTAGCGCAGACTTCAGGTGAGGGGTCTTTTTCTTTTTATCGTATATATATGAGCGATAATTCCACAATTGCTTTTAAATTGTTATATGCATTTTATGCCATGTTATATATATATATATATATATATATATATATGTTAAAATACTATGGTATGGTTGAGGTTTAGATTGCATTATTGTATATCTATATGCATATTATCGACATATAATTACTGTAAATGCTTTAAAGTACTAAGTTGAACTACGAATGACTTGATCCAGTTTGAGGGTACGTAGACAGTCTAACAGGACAGTTAGATGTAGCCATAAAACAATCTGAATTTAACATGGTACTTAATTTCTTTAAGGTAAGAAGTTATGATGGTTAACAACGTAGAGATTAACCATGATTTTATTTTGGCCTATCACTGGGTATAGTTCTGATTAAGAATGTTGGGATGTTAAAGTGGTTATGCCAAATGATGCTGCGGACGCCAGGTAAGCTTCAGGTGAGTACATGTTGATGGTAGTGACTGTAGTGGGTATGATTGTGTTGTGAGGTATTTAGAGCTTATTGTCCTGCACCCCGGTGTTAGTGCTCTGCTCGAGGACATGGCCTAGCTTTCACGTGATCGTTCACCTCCCGCACCACACGCTCACTTTGGATCCAAGGTAGGTGCCAGCCTGTCGTACAAACCACATTAGGTGGTTCTGACTCGTAGGTGACTTGCGATACTTCGCACAGCCTTCACGTGATCGTAGCAATTGAGCGTATTTATTTACACCTAGCATGTCGTACAGATCACTTTAGATGGTTCCGACTCGTGTGCAAGAATTGATTGATGAGATATGGATGAGTCGTACAAGTCACTATAGGTAACTCCAACTTACGTGCTAGCATTGATTGATGAGATATGGATGAGTCGTACTGGTCAGTATAGGTGACTCCGACTTACGTGCTAGCATTGATTAATGAAATATGGGTGAGTCGTATAGGTCACTATAGGTGACTCCTACTTATGTGCTAACATTGATTAATGAGATATGGGTGCAGTCGTACAGGTCACATTAGGTGACTCCGACTTGTGTGCTAGTATGGATTATTAAGTACCTGATTATTTATATTGCTGATGAGATGCGGTGTCGTGGTATACTTATGGTTTTACTGTTAGTATACAATGGATTTCAGACTTATACGTAGTATGATTTTATAGAAACTAAACAGGTGTTACAACGAGGGGTTATAACGTTTAGAAATCTTTATTAAAACTTTGTTTTCATGCCCACTCACTCTAGTTTGTTTTTCATCCCTTCAGGTTTTATTAGCTAAGCTTTCTTATCAACGAGGATTCGTGGCAAATTTTGGTATTGGAAATTATCTTCATTGGTATGATCCTTAATCCACTCTACAATACTGTACTTATGCTCTGACATCACGTGTGAAATGAGTTTATTTCCGGTCCCAACGCACTCTCGTATTTAGGCACTTTTAGGTTTAAAATTTATTCACATTTTTCCTCATCACTACACTTTATGGGTTCGTCACCTTCCAGGTGTCGGCCAGAACACTTCGATTCGGAGTCCTACTAGACTTTCCGGGTTGGGGTGTGTCATACGAAAATTAGTTTTATTCTTTTTGGTTTTGGTGAATTAATTAGCTTTATGTTTGGTAATGAAAATTACATAGAAATAGGTATATAAGGAGTGGCAATTTAGACAATTCAGTATGATTGTATAACTTAGATTGAAGTGTGTGTGAGAAATGCGTATTTGGATGTGATGTGTGTCGAGATATATTAGGATGATCTCTGAGAGAATGTAACTGGCACGTGCCCCTTAGCCCTAACCACGTAATTACGTAGCACAAGTAGAAGAAGAAGAGTTAGCAGATGGACCAGATGGTGACGGTGGCGTCCGTTAGGGGTTGCAACTGCTCCCCCACACCCACAGCCCCTCCACTTTTGGACACATTCACTCACTCCACATCGTCCTCAAAGCTCTCTTTGTGGTGGGATAATGCTACTTCGTATCGATGGGGTTGATTTTTTAGTGTGACTAGAACATAAAACGGTATGTTACATGTCAACATATACAATTAGAATGACACTTGAAAAAAAAATTTCTTTAAATTATGTAATGATATGTGGGAATGAACACTGAAAAATTTCTCGTATTTATGCCATGCCACATATTACAATTTGTGATTTCAATATAATTGTCGGCTTACTGTTATTGGATGACATTCCTATTATGTTTTTGGTTTTTTTAGTTGAGGATTATATACCCACA